GGTGAAACAAAACTAGTTTATATAATTTTGTCAGTGCCCGCTGCCGAATGACGTAAAATTAATCATCCTCCCACCCAAACCCAATGGGAACGAATAATTCCATATTTGAGTTTGAAAAGGAAACTGAAACCATATATTGGCTTTGTATCTCATGTTTTGCTTTACCTAACTTCGATCATACCTAAAACCATATATTGGCTTACTTTGGCTTACTCTTCTTAACGGCAACATCCAAAATTTCATCAAACCCCTCCATTACGCGCTTAAATCAACCGGAGGTAGCTAGCTAGGGTTTACTAACTTGTTGCCGGTGCCGCACCGCACAGATATAAAATGCTGAAACACACTACTAGTACTGTTAAGCCTTGCCGCAAATACTCTCTTCTGTTGTATGACCTTTTCTTTTCCCTTGTTTGTTTCTGGAAAACAGCTTGAGAAGAGAGTATTTGTGGCTTTCGGTCCCAATGGATCACCTACATGGGCTTCCACCCTTTAAATGTTCTGTACATTTTTTAAGGACGGGCTTCACATCTTTCAAGGGCTCATCTCTTCCAGCCCAAAATTCTATTTTTGATAAAACAAAAGCACAATATTGGTAACTGGGTGGGTACTGATGCATTGCATTTTTAACTATTCTAGCAAAACATTAATGATGGTAAAAATTGATTGAAATTTATCTACGGCCTCCATGACTGAAATGATTTCCATAATAATGTCCCCAAAGAAAGAATTTCTCCATGTCATTGAGAAAAGGAATTTTATATATTGAAAAACCTCATCAACAATTACTGTGAATTGATATTTCCATATTTTAAATTCAATACAAATCAAACAATGTAACTTGATTGTTAAATTTTTTCTATACAGGAGATGTCAATTTGATGTTTTTTGAATGCATTTTTTTATTGAGAGGGGTAATAACATACTAAACTGACACACATTACACGAATGTTAAGACTCTAGCCAATAACCTTTTTTGAAAAGCAATTGTTCCAAACTATTACACGTCTCATTTGCTATAGGTCAAAAAAAAGGGAGAGCAATCAGTAGAGTGAAGACCTATAAAGGGCCTTTTCTATTTTGTTTCAGAGAAAAGCCCTCAAAGCTGCCTAGAATCTCGGCCCACATACCCAAAAGTAGCACCAAAGGGAGGAAGAGAGGATAATGACACAGGAATGAATGAACATTGGTACAAAATTAAAATTAAAATTAGGGTAGAGAAGAAAAGGAAAAAAAAGAGAGGCTAGACTGTAAATAAATGTAAAGACAAAACGGAGCTCTCCCTCATGATAATATTTCAGAACCAATGTCTCCTTGCATCCCTACACCTACACTGTTTCCATGTTCCCCTCATACCACGCCTCATTTTTTTAGCTTCTTTCCCTCTCAATTATCACTGTACTCGAGTGTGGACCCCCCAACCCCAACCCCACCACCACATCATATATTTGGTCTTATTCTCTTTATTAAATTTATGGTTTTGATCCTATCTCCTTTTTATTATGCTTTTGTTTCGGTCATAACTCATAATCATAATGGAAGGCTTAATTATAATGTTCAATTACAATCTCAATCATTTGCTTGTTCTCCAAACTTCACACACTCTCCCGACCCGTCTTACAATCTTTTACTTATACTATTTCCCATTTGGATGACACTCTTAATCCCCTCTCAACTTCATTAATGCGCGCCATAAGTGCTGTGCTTAAATCATCATTTCTTTTAAATAATTATTCTTTCTCCATCTTCAGTTTCGCAAAGCAGGGTGCAAAATCAACCTTATAAAATGTTGGGGTGAGATATATATATCATGTATTTATTGTATACAATGGTTCCATGGCAGATTCCCTGGAATTGGTTGTCCTTATATCCGTTTTATTCATTGTCCATTTCTCGATCTCTCTCCTAGTATAATAAGTTACATAAAAAGAGAAATAAAGCGAATGTATAGAGCAATAAAACGAAAATAGGGAAGTTTGTTTTCTAAGTGGGAGCTATTGCATTATGTTGTAGGTATCAAAATGGTAGTAGCCTCTCTAATTAGCAGCTCTCATCACGGCCAGTCAACAATTCCATCAGATGATTGCTCAGAGTCGTAGTGGGTTCCACACACCATTCTTAATCCCATTGAGAATATGTTGTGCAGGCTTTGTAAATTGTATTAGGAGCATAATATTATTATTATTATTTACAGCTTAATTAACTTGTCTTGTATGGCTTGATGAGTTGAGACTGAAGTGGGTACGTAGTAATCTTTATATAATTAGTAAGTGAGATGGGAATTATTATTTTTCTTATAATTTATTTTCCTCATTTCACGAAGGAAGGAAGGTCGTAAGAAAATCTAAGCAAGCTGCAGTCTGCATGCATGTGTGACACGCGTCACATATCGAGAGGAGTTTGGAATATACAAATTATTGAGCGTTTCAAAGTTAAACTAGAAATTAAGTGCTGGATTATCTCAGAATTCGGCTTGTTTACGTTCCGAAGCGCTGTTGAACAGAGTGCAAGGGAGAAAGTAGCTACTATCACACACTCGATTTCAGCGTCAAAGATAGACCGTCCGATGTCGACTATTTTCATGATAAAAAATCACCGAATAGATCACTCCAACCAGTCTTGAGAATACGATGTCGCATTGTAGAATTCGCGATCCAATCCCACCTACCCACCCACTCTAAATCAAAGTGTTTTTAATGTTTTAAATGAATAATGGAGGTGGGCCTCTGTATCGCAATTCCAAAGGATTGGATATACATTGCATGGTCAAAATATTCAATAGCTTACGGTTTTTTTTATCATTAAAAAGAATATAAAAGTGGCTGAATTTTCCACTTTTTTCTTAGGAGTGAGAACATACGATTCTCGATAAAGGTATTGTAAATAACCAAAAGAGGAGTGAGAAAATCAACTTTCTATAAAATATTCAGTGGAGTTACAATATTGCATAAGGTGACGATTTTGCCCATGCGTAATGCTGGTACCATGGAATGCAACAATAGGCAGTGCCGCAGTGGATGACCTTGTAATCATGTAAACCGTAATTTGAGTCATGCTAATGTGGAAACGTGACAGCAGCTTTTCCTTACCCCCAAAAAAAAAGGAAAAAAAGAAGGTTGCAAATTTTCCATTTTAGAGACCCACATGATCACATCTTTAAATATAAGTCACAAGCTGAAATGATGCGCACCGACCTACTTACCTATATAAATCGTGAAACTCTAGTCTCTATCAACATTAATATCAGCAAATATGACATTCGGACCAAATCACATCAAAACAATGGCATGTTCCTATCTTAAGTAAGTTGACAATTTCTTTTGCTAAAACACAACAAAACTATTCTTAAAAAAGAAAAACAAATACGACATGCGCGAGGCGGAACCACACTAAAGCCTACAATGGGCTGTAGGCCAATGTGGTTTTTTAAGAAAAATATATATAAAACCTATATATTTAACTTATTTTCAATATTAGCCTAGTCAGTGTACTTATTTTCATTTTCAACATTTAAGTAAATGTCTTTGTCATTTTATTTATATTTATTTTTATTAAGTTTACAATGTAAATAAGGAAGTACCCCCCATTTGGATTTAAATAAAAATACTAGAAAATCAAATTCCCACCAAATCAAAATATGAAAAATCGGTTTTAGTGCAAAATACGATTTAGGCTAAAAATGATGGCTCATTAAGTCAATATATACTTCATACTAAAATCCCATAAAATCAAGTTTTCTTATTTGATGTGTGAGGAATAAAAGCCGCCAAAAATTATCTTGAAAAAATGATTATTCCGAAAACCCATTTTTCATATTTAGTCAATATTTTTACATAAAATAAATTTTCATGTATAATATGAATGCATGAAGGAACCTAAGGTCAATCTAGGTAAAAAAACCTTAGATATTCAATCTATTATGGCGTTAAACCCTATTTGGTTTATGTTAGAACTTATTGAAAATTAATCTATGGAACTTTGAATTAGCGTGGTTTATATGATTTAATGTTTACTTTTATTTCTAGAAAGACTATTGAAATTGTAAGTACCAAAAAAATTAATTATTAAATTTTAAGCTAATAACTTTAGTTATCCCACCAATTGAAAAATTCCTGATTCCGCCCTTGGACATGAGGAAGAAGAAGCATTTATTATTAATGACAATTTAATAATTAAAGAATTTAATCACGGTAAAAGTGTGTTAGTTAGAATTGAGAACGTAAGCTAGTGGAGTGGCGTGGCGTGTATTAAAATCGGGGAGACCCGGATCGGAATTAAAAAAAGAAACAAAAGACGTCTAGTGCAAACGAGACGTGTGAAACGCAGAAACGGCGCCGCGACGGATCAGACAGGAATCTGACACGTGGCACATGCATTAACGTGCGCCTCTCCCTGTTGATTATTTTTTGTCGTGAACGGCACGCGTGATGTTCATCAGTTCAGTCAAAACACCAGACGCAAAAAAGAAAGCAGCTTTTCTTTTATTTCTTTTTTCTTCTCTTCCTCTTTCCAAAACCAAAAATAACGAAAGAAAAAACAAACCCTAATTATTAATTATTTATCTATATATGAACAGCTTCATATACAAATAAATAAATGGAATACAAGTCTTACAAGAGAGTAGTGAAAAGTGGCTAGTATCTTTAGCTATATATGCAAAAGCTGACAGAGAATAGGACCCTGCAAATCCTCGTAATCCACGTGCTAAAATACGCTATATTATTGACATTCTTTGTTTTTTTTTTCCACATTAAAATAGCTCTCCCTAGTCCCTCCTTTTTTGAAAATCTCTCTCTCTCTCTGATCTTAGAGAGAGAGAGAGAGAGAGGAGGTTACTGTACTGAATCAGTACTGTACTGTTTTCGTGTTCAGCTAGTCTTGCTCTGCTTTTTTGCTCTTTTCTTTATTATCACACTTGGACGCAAATGCTGTAGAAGAAGAGAACTCTTAAAAACATTACTATTATAACAATAAATATATATTATCATTCTGCTCAACAGTTTAAAGCTGCAACGGATCACCCCTATACAGAAAGTGTGTGCGTAGGATTGGAGCATGCACATACACTCTTTCCAGTTTCAAAGCAAAACAAAGCAAACCAAAGGAAAGAGAGAAACTTTACTAAGATAGAGTGAGAGAGATCCTCTGTTCCCTTTGTTTATTGTGAAAGAGAGATACAATCAGTAGGAATAGGATAAGTGGGTTCATCGAAAGGTCGGTTTCTTTTGGAGGGTAAAAACAAGCACTCGATTAAGAGAGAGAGAGAGAGAGACAGAGAGAGAGGGTACTCAAGACTCATGCTTTGGTCCGCGTGCTTTGATGAAAACTGATGGGTCTTGGTTTGTTCCAAATTAAAGCCCCACTACTTCTTAAAAAAGATCACTGCAGTGCCTTTGTTCAGTTTTTGTTCCTTGATTTTGGTTCTACTCTGAAGGGTTTTGTGTGGGCCTTCTGCTTTTGTGCCCCAACATTGGATTGGATTGGATTGTTTGTTTTCTCTCAGAATATGGGATTCTCAGAAATGGGTCACTCTTAATTTGAACGATCATATGCGACAAACAGATCTGCTGGGTCGTCTACAGAGCAATTCTTGGATTTTTAGATGAAAAAATGAGAGATTTCTTGCTGGGATGTAACGGCTTTTTGTATTGGGGTTCCCGGTTTTGTATTAAAGATGTTAAAGTTTGCTTCTTTTGGCTGAGATAGAGAGGGACTCGCAGCAACTCATGATAATGGGCTCAGTTGAGGAGAAGATTAAAGCAGGGGGCTTGCTTAGTGGTGCACAATCAAGCATACTTGATGAGATGAAGCTATTGAAAGAACTTCAGGATCATTCTGGTTTGTTCCCTTCAAAAAAACTCTGCCTTCTTTGATTTGATTTTAGAAGTTTGAATCTTTAACGTCTGGGCTCAGAATAGAGCACGTTGAGCACACTCAATAACCCCTTTTTATACTTCTTAATTAAATGTCCTCTTTGTTAATTGTTATGCGAAACTATTAAAAATTGTGTCTTATTACATTTGCTCCTGGGATAATTGCGTTCAGGGTCCCGGAAGGCTATAAATTCAGAGTTATGGCATGCCTGCGCCGGCCCACTTGTTTGTTTGCCTCAGGTGGGAAGTCTTTCATATTACTTCCCTCAAGGACACAGCGAACAGGTTTGGATTAGTTTCTCACCCTCTTTAGTAAGATCCACTCATAAGTCCAGCATCTTTACTTATCAGACAGCTTTATAGTAAGATATCTGCTGGGTCATTTTTAATTTTAATTTTTCTGAGCACATGGCTTTGAGGATAGGGGATTAGGCTGTTTTACCATTCGCTTTAAGAAACTTATAAAATAAATATGCTACATTATAAGATATGTCACAGCTTCAAAGTTGATCTGTTTCTGTTTATACCAACAGTATGTGACAGCTGATGAACATTTCCTATGTAAATGTAGGTGGCGGTTTCCACGAAAAGAACGGCAACCTCACAGATTCCCAACTATCCGAATCTCCCATCTCAGTTGCTATGCCAAGTTCAAAATGTTACACTGCATGTATGTGTTTTGGCTGACTATTACTTGTTCCCTTCACATATGAACATACTATCAAAAAGTTCTGCAAGAATGTCTATGTTCTTTTCACTCTTGTATTATGTTTTTAACAGGCAGACAAAGAAACCGATGAAATCTACGCACAGATGAGTCTTAAACCAGTGAACTCTGTAAGCTTAGTTCCTATTTACATTGCCTTAAATTTATCACATTTTTATCTATTCTTAGCTGTAAAGTTGTGAATTATGGTAAATAATTTATTGTTTTATCAGGAAAAGGATGTCTTCCCGGTACCAGACTTTGGACTAAAGCCTAGCAAACATCCAAGTGAATTTTTCTGCAAAACTTTGACTGCAAGTGATACAAGCACACATGGGGGCTTCTCTGTGCCGCGCAGAGCAGCAGAAAAGCTCTTCCCTCAACTAGTGAGGCTTTCTTGATTTCCTGTTTCTTTGGTGTTTGGGAAACCTCTTCATGCTATATTGGAACAGGATGATGTGGATTCACATTATTCTTGTCATGTATTGCAGGATTTCACAATGCAACCACCAAGCCAAGAACTTGTTGTCCGAGACTTGCATGATAACAGCTGGACATTTCGCCATATTTATCGCGGTGAGAATGTTTAAATAGTTGCTTCTATCCTATGTTGTGTTAAGTGATGTGAAGTTGACTTTTTGGTTGTGGTTGTAGAAGATAAATTCTTATTTGATATATTTTTTCTCTTCCCATAAATACTATTTTTTCTTGTTGAAATATTTCTTGAATATATCCTATTTTTGTCCTTCCATGTAGGGCAGCCGAAGCGGCATCTTCTCACAACTGGATGGAGTTTGTTTGTTGGTGCAAAGAGGCTTAGAGCAGGTGATTCGGTGCTGTTTATCAGGTACAAAGTAATTACCTGCTTGTACTTCTCCCAGTCCTTATGGTAAACGTTGCTGCCTACATTGATGTTGAAATGAGTTCCAAGTTTTCATGCTGTGAAGTTCCAAATATGAGTAACCATTAACTTTGGTGCTATGCTTGCCGAATAATTGCAGATACAATCTTTTCCAATTTGTTTAAAATCTCTACTGTTTTTGTGTTAGGCCTGTTAAACAACACACACACATATTGGAATTACGTTGTCAGTTACCACTGACTGTTGTCTGATTGTATATTTGCGTCACTATCACAAGGGATGAGAAGTCACAGCTAATGATTGGTGTGAGACGAGCAAATCGTCAGCAAACAACATTACCGTCCTCAGTTCTATCTGCTGATAGCATGCACATTGGTGTCCTTGCTGCTGCGGCTCATGCTGCAGCCAATCGAAGTCCATTCACTATATTCTACAATCCAAGGTTTGCATGAATGCGTGTTCTTTTACTGATTTGTATTTCGCACATATATATGTACTCTACTCTATATATGTGTATTTTGCGAAGTTTTCCTTGACTGTGCTACTATTTCTACTCTACCGTAGGGCATGCCCTTCAGAATTTGTCATACCTTTGGCCACATACCAAAAGGCCATATATGGGACCCAGCTCTCAGTTGGAATGAGGTTTGGAATGATGTTCGAGACAGAAGAGTCGGGTAAGCGCAGGTAATGGCTGAATTGCATTGTATATTAATTATGTGCCACAACATGTCATGATGAAATAAACAGCAGTGATTGGTGTAGTAAACCCTTTTAATGGTTTCCAGATATCTGTCTGGTCTTTCCTAATCTTTTCAATGATGATAGAATGCAGCAGGTTTCAATATTTTCTGCATGATACATTAACATCATCATTATCAATGTGATAATGTTATGTTCATTGCTTTAATGCGTGGCCAGAGGTTAACATTTTTGCATGTTCTCTGCAGGTATATGGGTACAATAGTCAGTACTAGTGATTTAGATCCACTGAGATGGCCTGGTTCAAAGTGGCGGAATCTTCAGGTGGCTTAAGCTACTTTGAGCTTTTACTAAGTGATCTTGCTTTTATGTTCCCTAATCAATATTATAATGAAGGGTTTTTCTTCAAAAAAAAAATGAAGGGTTTTTCTGTTTGCTTTGAATGATCAACTGTTGATTCTTCTACATTCACTTCATTAACAGGTAGAGTGGGATGAGCCAGGGTGTTGTGATAAACAGAACAGGGTTAGTTCATGGGAAATTGAGACTCCTGAAAATCTTTTCATATTTCCTTCTCTGACTTCGAGTCTTAAACGGCCATTACACTCTGGATTCTTGGGTAAGTTTTTTTATTCAGTTTTCATGCAAGAAAGTCTGTTAGATGTTTTTATATGACTGTTTTTTGTGCGACCAGGAGCAGAAACTGAGTGGGGAAATTTGATTAAAAGACCATTTATCCGTGTTCCTGAGATTGGAAATGGGAACTCATTTCCGTACTCGATTTCAAATCTATGTTCGGAACAGCTAGTCAATATGCTACTGAAACCTCAACTTGTTAATCATGCTGGAACTTTAGCTGCTTTACAACAGCAATCACCTGCTAATGGAGATCTAATAGCAGATATGAAGGCCATGCAGGCCAAACTCAACCAAAAGTATCCGGTTTTCTTTTCAGAAGATACATCTCTACAGAGTCAAAACCCTCCCCAATCATCTCTGGATCAATCTGCTGCAATAAACGTGAATACAACATCTCATGCAATTCTACCAGGAAAGCTGAACAACCTAACAAAGTTTGGAAGTCAAGCACCAGTTGGAAATAGCACTGACAAGACAAAATTAGAAACTGATTTTTCTTCGGATCAATTAAGCCAGTTGAATTCTACAGGACAGGGAATTGAAGATAAATTGGCTGCAGGGTTTGTTAATCCCTATAACCTTGTGAACCAGCTGACATTTGCCAACCAAAACCAAAGTGCAGCACAACTACAAACTAGCCCACGGCCTATGCAGCCGCCTTTGGAATCATTACTTTACCACTCCCAACAAACTGATATGCCTAATTCAGATTTCAATAGCACAAATGGTTCGCTTCCATTCCTAGACAATGATGAATGCATATTTTACCAGTCTTGTCAACCCTTTGCCGGGACACTTAGATCACAGGGGCCTTTGTCTGTGTTTGGTTTGCAAGATTCTTCAGCTGTTTTAAGTGAAGCAAATAACTCCCTAACTTCAATTGGTCAGGAAATGTGGGATAATAGCCTGAATAACTGTAGGCTTTTACCCCAAGTGGATCAGCTCACTTCATCCCATCAAGGTCCTGGTAGCCTTAATTGTATTTCTAACTCAAGCAGTCTGAGAGATTTGTCAGATGAGAGCAACAATCAAAGTGGGATTTATGGTTGTCCAAACGTTGATGTTGGTAGTGGTGTAAGCACTGTTATTGACCCTTCTGTTTCAAGCACCATACTGGATGAGTTTTCTACACTAAAGAATGCAGATTTCCACAACCCCTCAGATTGCTTGCTTGGTAACTTGAGCTCGAGCCAGGATCTTCAGTCTCAGATTACCTCTGCAAGCCTAGCAGACTCCCAGGCTTTCTCCAGGCAAGACCTGGCAGACAACTCAGGCGGTACATCCTCAAGCAATATAGATCTTGATGAGAGCAGTCTACTGCAGAACAACAGTTCATGGCATCAAGTGGTTCCACCTGTGCGAACCTATACAAAAGTATGCATTTTTTCGATTCCTTAAATTTATGATTTTGATGATGTTATTCGTTGTTTCAACGGAGTTTAATGGATTTGGTTTTGGCTGACAGGTACAAAAGACGGGATCTGTTGGAAGGTCAATTGATGTTACTAGTTTCAAAAACTATGCAGAACTATGTTCTGCAATTGGATGCATGTTTGGATTGGAAGGGCTGCTAAATGACCCAAGAGGTTCAGGGTGGAAATTGGTTTATGTGGATTATGAGAATGACGTTCTACTTGTTGGGGATGATCCTTGGGAGTAAGTAAACCGACTTGCTGCTATTAATTTAGATTATACTGCCAGATTCTGAATTTTGATGGTTTTCACTTGTGTGGATATTTTTGCAGGGAATTCGTTGGTTGTGTTCGCTGTATCAGAATCCTTTCACCTACAGAAGTTCAGCAGATGAGCGAGGAGGGAATGAAGCTTCTGAATAGTGCTGCAATGCAAGGGATTAATGGCACCATGTCCGAAGGTGGCCGTACTTAAGATGGCTGCCTCTGACCGTGCCAGATTGCACGATAAGTTTGCAACTAGGATGCATTGTTGAGTTGTTTCCGGCTTGATTGTGCCTGATGTATTGATCTTACTATGCATTCAGAAAACTCAAGCTAGGTCAGTTGATGTGGCTACTAGTGTTTAGCTTTTGTGCTTTAGGTGGATTTGATGTATTAATAGCTGACATTAGTTAGCAGGAAGTGAAACTAGATGAGGAAACTGTACTAGTGTACCTGGGACATTTGTGCTTGATGTAGCTTTTTATATCTACTAAACACGGCATAGTTGAAACTTTTATATTGAAGCATTAACATAGTTGAAGCAGACTATTGACATAATATATAGATACCTCTGGTCTCTGAAAGAGGTTATAAAACTAAATGGTTAATTTATCGTACTTTTCTTGGCTTAAAGCCTGAAACCACAGAATTGAAATTACCAGCACAAAGATATTTGATAACTGATTCTTCAAGTTCTTGGGGGAAAACCCAGACCATGCTAACTAACTTGGGTCTGAGAAGGGCATGCATATTTGAATGCTAAACCCTAAACCCTAAATACATTCAAGAATACACTATGATTCTTTCATTCCCTAACAATTCATTGTCCAGAGAACAGAACAACTAATATCCCCTAAAGTACAAATCAAGAAATAAAATAGCTTTTAAATTACAGAACAGATTCTACCCCCAGCTTGCAGTAGGGAAAATTAGCAATTGATGATGCCCTTATTGCGACGAGGAAGAAATTTCACGAGGATGTTTAAAAGCAATGAAGCCACACAAATTTTGTGCAGAAGAAGCTAGATAGAGCATCAAGTACCCGATCATGATACTCTAACTGGTTTTTGCAGAACGGCAGACAAATAAACTTCAGACTTTCCTGACCCTGCTGCATCTACCTTATCCCCAACAACCCATTTCAGCTTTTTATATCCAAACCGCTCGATCAACCTGGTTAAATCCCTTTTCTTTTCCTCATTGGGGCAATAAAAGTTGTCTAACCAAAACAAACCTCCAGGCCTCAGAATTCGGTCTATGTCAAACATTACAAACTCGAATTTTTCAGGTTTGGCACCAACATCCAATCCACTGGCCGCATGTACCAAATCGAACACATTATCGTAGAAAGGAAATCTATGATCTAAACTCAAAAAGAGAGGGAAAAGCCCCCTTGCAGCTATGAATTCGCTAAATGGGGCATCAATGTTCAAAGTGTTAGTGATCACAGTCATGTTCCTCTCTGCCATTCTAGCAGCAAAAGTACCAGACCCACCTCCAATATCAAACCCTATTCTGATTCCTCCACTTCCTAGAGCTAAAACATCATCAATAAGGAAATCATTCTTGCCTCTAGCCTTAACAAATCTCTGATTCTCAAACCCATTAACCAAATCAAAGCAGCCAACACAGTCTCTACTCAATTTCTTACTATTCAAGCACTCAAAACTCTTACACCCAAGACCACTCCAAGTAACGATCTTATCACTAACAGGTTTCCAAAGTGAAATGGGAAAAGGGTTTAGACCCACCTTGGGAAGAGTCTTGGCAAAGCACCTCCTTCTGGGCAAAGGCTCACATCCACGCAAAATCAGCTTCTGGGCAAGACTCCAATCGTCAGGGCAAGGCCCGGATACCTTGTAATTCATGTACTGAGACAACAAGTCCGCAGATTTCCCGCAGGAATGTCCCACGGAAGCCACCATTTCAGTGATCCCAGTTCTCGAATCTTTGCCTAGAGGGAGCTGGTGATGCTGAAGGAAGAGTTTGAGCTCGTGTGCAACACTGGATCTCGAAAGATCGATGCTTTCGTAGCCAAGGAGCTCCTTTTCCATCTGAGCTAGTTTCTTTTGTGAGGAATCGATCTCTCTGAGGATCAGAGATACCTGCTCTGAGATGAGAGAGATGTTCTTCTGGGTGTGGTGAAGGAGATGGTAGGTTTGTTGGTCCTTTGGCGAGGATGTGAAGGCGTAGAGAGCGAAGAGATTAGTCGTGATGACAGAGAAGAGCATGAGAAGATTGACAGCTGATGAACATAGCGTTGCTCTTTTGAATCTGGCTGTTCCATCACCAATCTTCAGAGAAACAGAGCCCATCTTGGTTCTGCTTCTTCTCCAAAAGAGGGACTTCTCTGAGTGAGTGAGATTTGTGTACCAACTTCACTGAACAAGTTGAGTGTAGTGGTGGAGAAATGATTAAACAATTGTTAAGTAAAAGATTGGAGTGATTTGTGAATTTAAGACACCCTAACTTTGTCAAGGGTCAGGACATTGTTGTCGGCTGCGATTGTAACGTGTATAAAGAGAGTGAAAAGGGGAATGATATGTGGTTCAAGTTCAACAAAATCTCTGGATTTGTTCAACTTATTAATTTAGTTTTTCAGGAAAAAAGGGAGAAATTTAATTGAATTGTACACGTAGAAGTAGTTTGAGATCAGATTTAACCATAAATCTAATGTCTTTCCTAATTAATATAGCATGGCATTCTTAGAGACACTTTTCTTTTGTTTTTGGAGAGGTTTGGGGGTGGCGGTCGCGGAAAACACTTTATGAATCACGGACCTAGCGAGTTAAACCATAATAAAAGTCTACATTTGATCCTTGGTAAAGGATGCGGATATCATAAGGCCAATATCATTACCCATCACTCCAAAGAAGTCCAAGATCAACTTGAGTCTTACGACTTTGACAAAAGTTTGAAAAGCTGACGACCATTGAGCTAAAATTGTTGGCAAAAGTTTCTCCACAGTCCATACAGGATCTCCCGCCCTCAATGTCAAAAAATTAGCTTAAGGAATTACAAGATATTCACATTACATTAAGACAGAAAAACCAATACAAGACCAAGACGAGTTCATGCTGATAGCACCAGATGACACACATATCAAGCACGTCGCTTACTAAGACGCCAAGAGTTAGGTTCATGGTATCTATCATATAGCGGTTATATAAACTGGTTGGTTCTTCACTAGGGTTCTATAACCCTCCTGCGGGTCCTTTCTAGCACCGTGGAAGAAAAACCCTGCCGTAATTGCCTTCCTGATCTTTGTAAAATTCTTTCCAGCACTGACAACATCCAGTTTATACCTGAAATTCACAATCTATAGTCAGAATGCAATTTCATCTTCAAATCAGAATACTCAACTTATAAATCGTTGACCACTGTTATAAACTTAAGCAAGGGGGTGCTAGTAGAGACATTGGCATGACAAACTTATGCTAGGTTTTTATACACAATTTTTTTAAAAATCTATCCTGGAGCTTACATGACAATGCTATGTCAATCAATGAAATCTGTTAATGGCAATGGTAGGATGTGTAATATGCCATCTGAATTTCCATATCAACTTTTAAAACAGTTTTGCAATATTTTTGTACAAACACTGCTTTACCAAGAAAAACAATTCCAGTATCAAAATGACTAACATGTCTACACAAGAGAGAACATTTAAAGAGCATAAACTGGCAATTTAGCTATACACAAAAGGGTAGTTATAAAGATACTATACTTAACCCCTGAAAAAATGGTGGAAAAAAGCACTTCTGCTATAATGCTCTGAAAACAGTGTATGAGGTAACATCAACATGACAATTCGTAATGATCTATTCGCTGCTCAGGTACCAAATATCTAGATTTTAAAATACAAACTAGGCCTGAACAACATTTCAGCATTTCCGTGAAGTACAGACAGCAAAAAACATGCCTAATTCACGACTACTTCAAAAATACAATGTACCAACACATGAGGAAACCTGGAACATTAATCTACATCTTTTAAAACCATTCATGCACATGTGGAACCAGAAAAAAAGATCCATGCAACCACAAATACACATCAAGATAAATTAGAAGAACATACTTGTCCATGATGCTGAGAAGCTGTTTTCTGACATCCTGTGCCCTCCTCAAGGATCGAGACTGAACAAAGTTCTAAAAACACCATGGCCCTGAAAAATTCTTAGCTTTCCAAGCCTCATAGACTGCAAGTAAAGTCAGATGATCTCCCTCTGGATGGAAAAACTTGGCTCTCTTCTGATCTGGCCATTCCGCCGATCCTTATTACCTCTCCTATCATCACCATCGTCTTCATACTCATCTCTCTTATGCTTATTGTATCGATCTGTATGACTTCCCCTGTCGTCACCATCATCATTATAATGTGTATCTCTACGCCTCTCATCTCTATCATACCTTTCCCTTTGCCTCTCCCTCCCATCTCTATCTCTACCTCCTCTGTGTCTATCTCGATCTCTATCTCTATCTCCTTCCCTATATCTATCCCTACCTCTACGCCTGTCTTCTTCTCGCTCTTCATCTTGTTCTTCTCTTCCGTTTCCCTTTTCCTTGGTCTCCATCTCAATTTCCTTCTCGATGTCCTTGACTCCCTCTTCTTGATAAAGCTCCTCACTCTGCATATGCGTTCGAGTCCCCCTCCCCGTAGTTTAGATTAGATTAGATTAAAGTAGAATATCGTTTCCTATAAAAAAAAAATATTGGCCAATTATTTAACAAAATCGAACATAAAATCTCAACTGCTTATAACCTGTCCTTTTTGCTGTCGTAAAAGAAGTCGTGTTACAGTTGCATAATGTAGTGTAAACAAAAATTTACGTTTTGTGCTGTAGTTGCGAAGGTAAATGCTCTACCACCAAAATTATAAATCCCAAATTTTCTGTTTCGATACTCTTTGGAGCTGAAAGATGAGAAGAGATTATGGTACAAAAGTAATAAAACATAAAAAATTTGCTTTCAAGAATCAAGACTAGACAAAAAATGCCAATGATTGAACTAAAAAAAAAAAGAGTGAAACAGGAGCAAAGACCACTCATACACATAGCTTCTTCAAGGATACTACTTATGCAACTACAAAACAACAATCCGAAAAGGCTGGCACTCAGCCTATGGTTGAAGCTTCTAAAGGGTAGGAGTTGGTCAATGTAATATTACTAACTAATCATAAAATAAACGTTCTTCTGGCAAGAATTTCTAATGATCTTGCCCTGCTAACGACTTCAGCCCGTCAATGTTTAGCCTTGGCTTCAGCTTTCTTATGTGACTTGGCCTTCATCTAATAATCAAAAGAACAAAGTAAATAAACATCTATTCAATGCAAGAAAAATATGTATAATGTACCAAAGCAAGTAAAGGTTCTCTTTCTTAATTTTTTCACAAGGCAAAGCAATGAAGGAGAGGAAAAGTTCAACGATTCTCCTTTCAAAAGTACCTGAAAATTCCAAAACACTTCTGCAAAACTAAAAATCCTAGATTTTACTCAGGCCTCGGGACCTAACTACTATGAAACAGACTGATTTATGCAACAGAGGCATATTAGCAATTGTCAGTTCTCAACCACCAGCTTATTTTACTTTGCAAAAGCAATTAAAGGGCCATAAGATCAAATGCAGTGCTGCCTATAAATCTACTCACATGAAAAGGCCTAAAAATCAAACAAGAACAACCAAACTGAAGCATATAAAATTAAATCTGCCAATGAGGGACTTGGTTTTAATCACATGGCATGTAATCAGTAAGAATAACCACACCACATATATATATATATATATATATATATATATATATATATATATATATATATATATATATATATATATATATATATATATATATATATATATATATATATATATATATATATATATATATATATATATATATATATATATATATATATATATATATATATATATATATATATATATATATATATATATATATATATATATATATATATATATATATATATATATATATATATATATATATATATATATATATATATATATATATATATATATATATATATATATATATATATATATATATATATATATATATATATATATATATATATATATATATATATATATATATATATATATATATATATATATATATATATATATATATATATATATATATATATATATATATATATATATATATATATATATATATATATATATATATATATATATATATATATATATATATATATATATATATATATATATATATATATATATTATAAGATATATCAGTAACAGAACCACAGAAACAATAGACAAGTTGAAATGACTAAGGGAACAAAGATTGCTTTCAACAAGAAAACATGGGTTTGGGACAAAATGCTCTGTATGCAAATCTGTATACAAAAGTTGAATCCCTAAATCCCATAGCATTGTATTGCTAAGAAGAATGAATAAGCAGACGCGCAAACAGGATCGCCAATCAGTTCGAACTATACTTATACATCCGTAATTTTTAGCAAATATAAATATGAAATAAGAACAAGTCAAATCGAAACCCTGAGCTTCACGCTTCCATAAACCAGACCGAGAGTGAAGGCCGATGCACGAGCAACCTATCAAACATTCAAAAGTTAAAGAAAGATACTTTACGATCACATTCCTCTGCAAAAGAGATGAGAGGGAAAGGAAAGGAGTGTACCAAGGCGAGGGTGCTGGTGCCAGAGTAAGGGCCTGGAGGTGGTGCCATTGGATTTGGTGATGAAAATCTCAGCTTAACTCGTCGAGTGCTTGCAGCAAAACCCTAATCAGATTGCAACCCCTGAGCTTGAGCGCTTGTTTCAGTCTGCTCTCCACTCCACTAGTTTCTTCTATGTATAATGTATCTGTATCTTGGACCCGAAAAAAGGTCGGGTTGCTGGATTTGGAAATGCGCTTAACATCCAGTCAATAACCGTTACCCGAAACGTGGCATGATTTAAGCATCACTCCTGCCACGTGGCGGTTTCCTCACTGGCATAAAACGACATCGTATTGTGACATCGTTCTAACTGAAGAAACGCAGACAGATAGGTCCGTAAGTTGGCGCAATATCTTGAGAAAAGAAAAGAATCGGTTGCGGAGAAAATCCAGCGAAAATGGGTGCATCAACTTCGACGGAGCAGAAAGTTTCGATCGAGCAACGAGAGGCGGAAGCCCTAGCAGCCTCCACTGGAGCTCTTTCTATGCTTCAGAAATCTTTCTCCAGCCTCGCCGATCCTGATTCTAATGCAATTCCCCTCAACTCTCTTCAGGTAGATTCAAGATGCCAACTTAACTCCTCGAATTCAATTTTCATTCTATGCCTCTATAAACCAGAAATTGAAGCTTTTGCGTTTCAAATTTTCAGCAATGCTTCTCTTTAACTTACAAGAGCCCAGTATGTGAAGCTCTTACAGTGCCTGATTCTTTTCCGATGCTGTTGGATCATCTTGGTTCATCAATTTTGGACCTGTTTTTCATCTCGGAGAAAGGCGGAGTGAGCTGGGTTGAGTTCGTTAGAGGCTATAATAAATGCTGTGTAAGAATGTCTGCGTCTATGTCGCTTAATATATTGCTCAGAGTGTTTTCTGTGACACTTCAAAAGGCGGGTTCGCCTTCGAACTTGGAATTTGAATCTGATGATGTTGAGTGTAAGATAACCGGGTCGCTTAAGCCCGTGGACGTGCTTATGCTTCTTTGGATGTGTTGGGCCATTTCCTGGAATTCTAGGACTTCGAAAATTTCCAAAGAGAAAACAGATTTACCTCTGCCGGATATTAATCAGATTGTTTTGTCGGCTATTGTTTCATGCGCTGACGTTGGCAGTGGCTTGAATGTATGGGATTGCCAGCTCTCGGGTTTGGAAGTTGAACTTCCTGTGGGGAAGTTTCTTTCTTGGGTTTTGAGAACAGTGCCTAGTCTACCAGATTGCTTTTCACAGTTTGTGTATGCAATTCTCAAAAACTGTGTTTCTCACAAGGTATCTAACATCTTTTCAATTGAACAAAATCATAAGCCTTCATGTTTCCATTTCTCTTATATTTCATTATCTTGTTGCCTTGCCAATACGATATCATGTATTTGAGCTTATGGGTTAAGGACTCGTTAAGACATAATGGGAAGTGCACTCAGTCAGAACCTTTTATGTATTGAGGCACTTGCTTATAGAACGAGTTGCTTTTTTAGATCACTCAAGTTATTTTTGAACTTGGAAATTTATATTACCCTGAATGAAACGGATTTTGACGGCAGGATGGACTAGAATGCTCAACTTCATCAGTGGTAGAGAATTCTTCAACCATGGCATACAGTTCTCATCTTTTGTCTAGTGGAATGGCATGGGTGATTTCCCTTACATTGAGAGGCACAATAAGTGAAGAGATATCAAAAGTATGCTTCCCCAGCGAGACTGATGGAATAGACAAGAACCTCCTTTACAGGTGTGTCATTTTATCCCCTTGATCTCATGTTGTTTGAATTCTTTCCTGCGCAATCACATTCCATGTCGCTCGTCTCTGTTCTGGAATAGATAAGAACTTCTGGTATTATTAAATTTTAGTACTTTCATGAATATTACCTCAGTACCAATATATAGAAGCTTAATATCCTGAAATATTTATTTTATTGTTTTAACGGTCTCAGAGTCCAGTAAATGATGATAAGGTAGTTAGTTGATGTGTTATGTTTATGGAAATGTTTTACATTAATCTTTCCCACATACATAGTTTTTCTTCCATTGCATCCTTACTTTTATTTGATGACAAATTCCAGTAGGATCGAGGCTTAAATTTTGTCTGCAGTTCTTTATTATTTGTCTGATGGGTTTCATTGCATACTAATTTGCAGGTCATCTCTTCATGGCAGAGGGTTGAATAGATTCTGGTCTAACATTGAAGGTTACCAAGGGCCACTGCTTATGCTGTTTTCTGCAACTTCAGGAGATGCCAGTGATGGTAGAGCCAACGAGAGAAAATGGACTGTAGGTGCACTCACAAATCAGGGTTTTGAAAATAAGGATATCTTTTATGGAAGTTCGGGAAATCTATATGCTATAAGTCCAGTCTTTCATGTGTATCCACCTACTGGTATGTAACGTAGAGGAAAAATGGAAGGAGAGATACTCTGAATATTTTCCTTTCTCAAAATCGCTGACTAGATGTCTCTGAAACTAACCGTATATGAACTATGATCATTGACAGGAAAGGAAAAGAACTTTGTGTACAGCCATCTGCATCGCACTGGTAGGGCATATGAGCCGAAACCAAAGCCTGTGGGGATAGGATTTGGTGGAAGTATTGGAAATGAAAGAATTTTTATTGATGAAGATTTTTCCAAAGTTACTATCCGCCACCATGCAGCTGACAAAACGTATCAACCTGGCTCCCTCTTTCCTGATCAGGTATAAAAGTTATGTTGCAAGCAGTTGAAAGTTGTTAACTGCAATTTCTATAAAAGAAAAAGAAAAAGTATGTACTTAAGTATCTAAATTTTCCGATACAATTTTTTTTTTTCAATTTTAAGCAACTGTGACTGGAAATTATAACTTATAGGGTATGCTGGATTAATTTAAAGTAATAATAATTGAGCTTAAACTGGTGCAATCAGGGCTTCCTGCCTGTTGAAGCTTTGATTTCAGAAGTTGAAGTTTGGGGGCTTGGTGGGAGAAGCGCCAAGGATGCGCGAGATTCATATAAGAAGAGGGAACAACTTTTCACTGATCAAAGACGAAAGGTAATCCATCTTACATCAGACAAGGGCAATATTTGCATCTTGAAGTTATTAATGCTTTTTTTTTTTTTGCCCCTTGTCCTCATAGGTTGACTTGAAAACATTTGCAAATTGGGAGGATTCACCGGAGAAGATGATGATGGACATGGTCTCAGACCCTAATGCAGTTCGACGGGAAGATCGCTGAATAGACTGCAGATGTTATGCTGTAATTTTGAATTTTGCTTCCTGGCTGGTCAACTTGTGATTGTATTTAGAAGAAAGAAGTCAGTTGTGGAGAAATGTCGACTATATCTCTGTATTTCTAAATGATGGGTGTAAATAAACTCATAAAGGATCATCTGACCGAGACTTGAAATAGATTCATCTCAGTCATCAGTGGTGATATATGTTGATTTGTATGTAGGCGATGATGTAAATGAGAGCTAGATAAATTCTCCTTGATATACTTTTGGTTAATGCTGTTTTATCGAAAAATGAATTTACACTTTACGTATGGTTGCTGCTTCTATCCCAGTTTATTCCATCCAGTCTATGGTTGTATGCATGAGCTGGATAGATTAAATAAGAAATTATTTTGGTTGATGTTATAACGACTGCAAGAAACAATCAGAGCTTCCACCCAGGTTTGGAAAGCAATCTGGCAGATTAGCACTCTACCAAAAATCCAATTGTTCATGTGGAGAATTGTCTCGAATGCGGTTCCAACTAGAATGAATTTATTTCGAAAAAAAAATTTGTGGCTCTCCTATCTGCTCTGTGTAATCAGTTTGAAGAGACGATCGAACACTTGCTTTTTCTCTGCCCTTGGACTCAAGCAATTTGGTTTGGGTCTCCTTTGTCATTGCGAATTGATCAGCAACGTTTGAGAACTTTTGATGTGTGGTTTAATGAAGTTTTGAGTATGCGATCGGGGTCTAAGCAAGAAAAATTGGATATGCTTACTCTTTTAAGTTTTTTCCTTTGGGAGATTTGGAAAACTAGGTGCAAGGCTGTCATTGAAGGGAGCACCATTGATCCGGCCAAGGTTATTGAGAATGCGCTAAGAGCTCAAATGGAGTTCACTAAAATCCGAAGGGTTCCTAGTGATGAAGTGGTCGTGAACAACATTTTGAATGTCCATCCCGCTTCCTGGAATGCACCTTCAGGTGATTTTGTGAAAATAAATGTGGATGGAGGATGGATTGGTGACACTCTGAAAGGTGGCGTTGGGGTTGTTATTAGAAATACTGGTGGTCAATTTGTTGGGGGTTTAGCTGGTCCTATTTGCTGTGATTCAGCACTAGCTGCGGAAGCTCATTCAGCAATTAAAGGGCTTGCTTTGTCTGCTAACCTTGGCTTTAGAGATGTCATTGTGGAAACAGACTCAAAATTGCTCATCAATGGGATAAATGGTGACTTTAGAAACAAAGTGTGGTCCATTATGCCCCTTCTTGAGGAGATTCACAGAATATGTGGGTCTATGCATGAGGTTCGATGGAGCTGGGTGCATAGAGATTTAAATCGGGCGGCTCATGAGGCAGCCATGATTGGAGTTAGAGCTATGGAGCTGGAAAGCTGGGTCTCACGACCACCATTGTCTCTGGTGCAAGTTCTGGTCTCGGATGGACTCCCATGTCCTCCTTAAGTTTCCTTTTGTTTTAGTTTGAAAGTTTTTCTTTGCTGGGTTGTATGGATTCAGTTTTGCTTTCTATCCTTTTTGTAAGCTCTTCTGCCTTTTTTCGGCCTTGGAATGAAGTTTCAGTCTTGACCAAAAAAAAAAATACTCCGAGTATTCAACATCAACTAATCATTCATATCAAAAGCTTCTACAGTGAAGCAAAAACACAACAAGACAGAGTTGTCTAAATTGCAACTCAAATACAAGAATACTCTTTTTTTTCTAAATGAAACACCGAATGGAAGTCTAACAGACCTGAATGAATATATAAGCAGCGCTCCCCAGTAATATGTTTGATCAAACGACAACAGGTTACTGCTTTTTCTCTTCTGCTTTCCTCGGCTGAAAGAAAGGACACATTGGCAACGTGAGAAAAACAATATATAACAAATAAATCCTTCTAGGCCTTAACCAGAAAGAGCAAGAGGATATGAACAAAACAATTTAAGATATCTTCAAAACATTCTATGGCCATATTTTGACGGACATGGGGATTTCGATTAGAACAAATCGATATGA